TTTTGAGGCGAAAGAGCAGCTATTGCAGCTTGAATCGCATCAAATCACAAAAAAAACTTCGTTTGAATCATCGATGCTCCCGTGACCTCTATTCCCTCTTCACTCACCTCCGTTACTCTCCTTTCATCACCCAGTTATGGTCTTGTGGGAGGAGGAAGAAAGCGAAAGGCACCAGCAGCGTCGATGGATTGCGCCGGCGACGTGGACGATGGAAGGATTCCTAGGGCCGGCGGAAGCTTGTTGCTGCTGCGACTGTGGTCTGCTGCTAGGAACAATGGCATCAGCCTCCAACCCGCAAACCGTCACAACCGGGTTAACCTATCGGGTTTCCCGGGTTTTGACCGGGTCAAGGCGGGTTTGACTTTTCCGGGCTAATCTATAGACGGGTGAATGGCGCCCGATTTAGTGTCCGGGTCCGGGTCAAACCGGGTCAACCCGCGGGTTGACAACCTTGTTAAGAAGCCATAATCCCCCGCCCGAAACATGGGTGCCATTTCATGTAAAGGAATGAAAAGAAAGACAACAGATGGTTTTTTTTTCCTTGAGTAGCTGATTGGGTTCGATTGAAGCTGATGTTCTCCTTTCAATCTATTAGTGAATGGTATATGATCTACGATTGAATCTCTTCCAACAACTCGAGTTATTGGGACCAACTGGTTCTTCACATGGTATCAGAGCCTAATGCGACCGATAGGTCTTGTGTTCGAATCCCGGTGACCCCGTTTGTAGGGATGAGTTAGCTTGGTTACTAATTTTCTAGTAGCCACCTTGGCTACATCAATATCCACCATTCATTTTTATCTTTTTCCTATTTTTTTAATCTCACGATTATGATTGCTCAAGGATAATTTTGGAAACAAAAAATAAACCACACTGGATTATTCTATATATACACAAACCCTAATTCTACCCTGCTCCTTCCAACCAAACCTACGCGCCGGCAGGCAGCAGCCTCCACCCCTCCCTCCTTCCTCCCCTGCCCATCACCCCCCTCCCCTCCCCTCGCCAACCCACCCCTCTCCCGCCGACCCCATCCCACCCCACCCCCCTCCCCCCGCCGACCCACCCCTCCCCCGCCGACCCCATCCCACCCCACCCCCTCCCCCCGCCGACCCACCCCTTCCCCCCGCCGACATTCGGCTATTGCCGCTTCTCCAGCTGCGCTCACCATCATCTCTGCAATTGGAAGGAGGAATTCCATTGGAATGGTATGTTTTTTTTAATGGTAGTCATTTTTTTCAGTAGTGATTTTTTTTAAATGGTAGTCATTTTTTTCGTAGTGGTAGTGTTATTGTCGTATTGGTATAGTTTTTGTCGCATTGGTATTGATTTTGTCGCATTGGTATTGATTTTGTTACATTGGTATTGATTTTGTCGCATTGGTAGTGATTAAATCTGCAATGGTATTGATGTTTTGTGAAATGGTAGTGTTTTTATTTCTTGAATGGTATTGATGTTTTGTGAAATGGTAGTGTTTTTATTTCTTGAATGGTAGTTTTCGTGTAATGGTATAAATTTATTTCTGCAATGGTAGTTTTCGTGTAATGGTATAGATTTATTTCTGCAATGGTATTGATATTTTTCAAAGTGGTAGTGTTTGTCTAATGGATTGGTACTGATTTCGTTTTTTTTTTTTTTTTTTTGCAGAAAGATTGAGAAAAATATGGAAAGGAAATATGGCTGGAGATTACGGAAGTGAGAGAAAGAGAGAATTTTAATTAATAGATTTTTGTAACTACCTTAAATGTAATTTATTAAAAAATTAATTAATATAATTTATTTTTCCATACCCAATTTACCCTTAGTAACCACGGTGATTACTACTTTGTAGTAATCACCGTAACCTGTCCCCCCGTTTGTGAAGCACAAGGTATCGTGTATTCAGACCTGTGCAAACGAAAGCCCTTATTAGGTGATTGACTTTCATTTGAGGGGGTGTATTAGTGAACCTTTTCAACAACTCGAGTTATTGAGACCAACTGGTTTTTCACACAATAAAGAAATAAAGCAGGTAGTAGTAATTATATAACTGACTCATCAATGTGCTTAAGTGGCCTTCTTTCAGAATGGGGCCGTAGTGGTAGAATCGATGGGCCATGTCCAACCGGACCAGCTGAGTGGTAGAATCAAGAAACGCACAGTTTCATGTATGCAGGTGAAATGACTATAAGGGACATCCGGAATTTCCTCAGAGGCCTCCATTTTCAAATCTCTGAAATTTGAGAATACATGTTTTGCCTTTATATACTAGCTTTTTACCCGGCCCGTTGGCCGGTGAGTTTCATTTTATCATTTATATTAATCAATTAATCAATTTATCTATATGTTTAAACTATTTTGGATCTTCTACATTTTTTACATTTGCATTCATGCGTGAGTATGCGGTGCGTCTGTAAATTAAAAATTCTCAATGCTTAGCACGTTCACTTATGATGTTTCAATTCTCTGATCATAAATCATGTCACAAAGATATATCACGATACTCAAATGCGTGAGTATGTGGTGCGTCTACAAATTAAAACAACGATACTCAAAAAATTTTATCTTATACAATATATGTCATTCAATGAATCTCGAGTTTGGACAAACTCTCAACCAATGATGTTGCTCAGATGACGACAACTTAGTTAGAATGTTTTTATAAAGGTACTTCAATATTAGGTAAGTTTGGTCATCCCAATTGAAAGTTTACTGTCTTATTGTAAGATCATATTTGTCGATCAAGACACTCAATTTAATATCTTATACAATATGTACTAATTGTTAATTCCTGAAGTTTAATTTAGACTCACCCTCAACTAATGATCGTTGTTTAGATGTTGGTTTAGAATCTCGGTCCAAGATACTCACATACTGTCGAGGGTTCTAATCGTAACATGGTCCATTAGTGTATAATTTTCTAACTTATCAAAATGCTTTTGCTTAAACTTATACTAATATCTTCATTTTGTTGGTGTAATGCCACATCTATTGTCAATATCTAAGCATGATACTATACTCTAAGTAAGAACACGCTATCTGGACCACAAATTAACCGGATTTGTGGGCATGATACTATACTCTAATCCTTGATGAGTGAACCTTATGTCTTAGTTATCTAAATCATAGAGCTTAACCCCTAAGATTGTGCATGTAATTTGTTGCATATATTTTGACGAAGCATAACCGTTGATTTTTGTTTAGAATTAAATTGATCTTAGGGTATGAGATTTATAAATTTAAGACCTAGATTTTAATCTTGAAGGGTTTGAGAATAATACCATATGCCAAACTCCAGTCAATTCAAGGTCTAGATATCATTTTCTTACTCAAAGTATGTCATAATATACATATATAAATATAAAGAGTTTAATGTATTTTTAAGTGTAATTAACACCTTTGTTTGACCGAAATATGTAAACTATTAAGAAAAATAAGGGGAGATATGAACAATTGTAAGAGAAAATAAGGTATGGAAGCATGCATTATAAGAGAGAAGAAAAGTTGTGTTTCTTTATCGCCTTCATTTGTACAATCAGGTACTATATTATGACTTCGTCAAATTTCTATCTAAATGAAAAACAACTTTTGAAGCATTTTGCTGTTTAATACTTGTTTTCATTAATAGATACAAACATTAGAAAAAGATAGTGTTTGATAACCAAAACATAAAATTATATAGTTGGTTTTTCAAATTCAATTGATTATTAAATGTTGATTACCTAAACTTCACTGTATAAAGTTCTAATAAAAATTAAAATTAAAATTAATTGATCAGATTTAATCAAATATATTTGTTAAAAGATTACAATATATGTCACTCTCCAAACATACGTATACTGCTGCTATACATATATATTGCAAAAAAAAAATTATTGAATAAAAAAATATATTAAAAGAAGATATAGATAGCTACATAAATGATCATTAAAATAAAAAAAAATATTAAAAGAAGATAGATATAGATACATTAATTGATCATTAACTAACTTTTTTTGTTGTAAAAAAAAGTGTACACCATGACACCTTGTAAATTCTCCAAATGCTTATGTGACAACAAACTACTTTTGAATTGCCATAATATTATGTACAGATAGATAGATTTGGTAGATACGTGGTTGGGTTGGGCCAGATCGCTGTTCCCAATTCCCATCAATCATTTACTCATAATCTTCTCTTTGCTACCAGCAAAACTGTAATAAAAAGGGCTTTCCATTGTTCTGGCTATCTATATTCTCTCGCTTTATACCTACAGTGACGATGAATTTCACAACGCAATTGGCATCCGACTATATTATGCTCACCTTTTACTCAACAACAAAAGGTCGGTCCCCTGCTGCACCCATGACCCAACCCCACTAATTTGGTACTAATGCTGAGCCTTTGTCTTGCTTGCCAGTCTGGACTGGATCTCAGCACTTGAAGAGAAACCCAAGTAGTATGGGAAAATTCTTTGGTTGTACGTTGAAACTCCAACCAGTCGCATGTTAGTTTGTTATTTGTGATTTACTTTTTTTCTTTTGGTATTTAATGTTCCTAAATAATTCAAATATATAAAATAAAGATAAACTCACAAATAGGAATCTGACATGTGACTTGATTGAAACTTCTGCGTCCAACCAAAATTAGAGCTAAGAATTTCCCCGGTATGAAACTTATTCCATGGAAGAAGATGGGTTGATCAGATCAGATCTAGTGAAGTTTACTGCTAAAACAACAATAGACCCCCTACTGGCTACTACTATAAAAGCAGATAAAGCCTTCATCTTTGATTTGGCCCACCCGGTTTGAATTTGCCCGAGTCGGTGCCATCTGATCAAGAGGAAGAAAAAAAAAAAAGGAAGGAAAGAAAGGAATCATTAGATTCACTGCGAATTTGCAGCAGGAGTGGTTGGGAAAGTGTACAAAAGAATCAAGGCCAAGTTGCTAAAAGATAAGTGTGGATTATTAGTCTGTTTGATAAGTAAAGGTGTGGATTACTACATAAGGGCTAATCATGCAACAGGCAAATATAATACCTACATCCTCCATACATCAGTGACAGGCTGTGTTGTTAGAAATCCTACACAAGTCCCAAAGATCTGCTTCCCCTTTATTATATTGTTTCTTCGTTTAGCCTTAGCCTTTTCTCCTTGGCACTTAAATGCTGTTTTGACGACAGCATTTTGCTGAATGTCTGCCCCACAACCCCAATCGTCTTCATTTCATTGAGGCCCAAATGCTTTCTTCCTCAACTTGACGTGAATCAGATCAGTTTCAGCAGTCTGTCCAACTCCCAGCTGTGCATGAAGGGCCAACTGAGCTGACCGGCTTTTAATGTCTCTACAAAACTCTTAACTGTCACAGTTTTCCAAGCAAGAAAACTGCGTCCACACTCCACTGTGAAGTGTAAACCACCCCACCTTCGCTAAAGATCAGACCCCTTCTCTCAGTGAAGAAACAGAGAGCTCCTCATGATGGTCCGTTGTTTGCTTCTGCTACCACTTGTTCTAACATGGAGCTTGCTGTCCCAGTCCACACACCAGTTGCAGCCATCACAGAGACAGGTGCTTCTTCAGCTGAGGAAGCATTTGGAGTACCCAACTCAGCTCGAAGCTTGGAACACTCCTGGAGCTGATCTCTGCTACTCGACACCATCGAGGATGGTCAACATCTCATGCCAGGACAATTTCGTCACTGAGCTCACAATCATGGGGGATAAGCCATCATCCAACTCCAACCAGACCTTGTCTTCTACCTTCTCCATGGACTCCTTTGTCGCCACTCTCGCCAGGCTAACCAGCTTGAGGGTCCTTAGCCTCGTCTCCTTAGGCATTTGGGGTCCTCTCCCTGACAAAATCCACAGGCTGTCTTCACTCCAACACCTCGATTTAAGCTCCAACCATCTCTTCGGCATTCTTCCACCCAAGATCTCGACTATGGTAAAGCTTCAAACTTTAATCCTCGACGACAATTTCTTCAACCATACGGCACTACCCACCTCCTTATTCGATCCACCGCTCTCCAATCTCACGGTTTTGAGCTTGAGGAACAATAAATTCAGGGGTCCGTTGTTAGGGAACAGCCTTGAAGCTTTAACCAAGCTTCAAGTGCTGGATTTGAGTGTTAACAGCTTCGATTCTGATCTGCCGTTGCTGCCCAAGGGAATACTCATGGCCATTTTGAGCAACAACTCGTTTCAAGGCAAGATTCCCCGGCAGTACAGCCAGCTGACTCAGCTTCAGCACCTTGATGTTTCCTTCAACGAGATAGTTGGAGAGGTTCCTGCTTCTGTTGTTTCACTGTCGAACATCAGGTTCCTGAACTTGGGATCAAACATGCTGAGTGGTCCCATCCCAAACAGTCTTAGATGTGGACAAAACCTTCAATTTGTGGACATCTCGAATAACAGGTTAACTGGTGGATTGCCTTCTTCTTCTTGCTTGGTAACTACTGGTTCGGAGAAGAGTAGATTGGTGAAGCTTGGTGGGAATTGCTTGTCCAGTTCCTTAGATCGCCAACAATATCCACAATCGTATTGCATGGAGCTTCCAGTTGCTGTGGCCAGGGAGCAATCTCAAGGGAGAAGAAGTAGAAGCGTGGGAGTAATAGTTGGGGTGGTGGCTGCAGTTGTTGCTATGGTTGCACTTCTGGGTTTGGGTTTTGTCGTTGTTGGGAGGAAGTACTGTTTCAGAGAGGTTTCTGAGCGGCATCTGTTGCACAAGGTAGGAGTGCAAGATAACCCGCCTGTTGCTTCTGGGTTCTCCCCTGAGCTACTCTCCACTGCAAGTAAGTATAGTCGCTGTGTGAGAGAGAAATGATTGTAATGGATGCCTTCTACTTGACATGCATGCTAACCATTAACTTCATGTTGGTGTTTCTTTCAGGGTTCATTACTGAAGTTTCCAAAGTGGGTGATAGTCAAGGTCTTCCAGCTTGCAGGTCATTTGGTACACAAGAGTTGAAGAAAGCTACCAACAACTTTGACAGCTCTACCTTTCTGGGTCAAGGTTATTATGGAAAGGTAATCATTTTTTCATTTGGCAAAAGGAACTCAGAACTTGATGATTCTAAATAACTTTGAGATTCTCCCTTAACCTTTGTTGATCAGCTATACAAAGGAAGGTTGGAAGATGGAACCCAAGTGGTAATAAGGTGCTTGCCTACATCAAAGAAGTACACAACTCGAAACCTTAAGCTGAGGCTGGATTTACTGGCGAAACTTCGTCATCCACATCTGGTCTGTCTTCTGGGACACTGCATTGACAATGGAGGAAGCCAAGATGATTATAGAGTTGACCAAGTCTTCCTTGTATATGAACATATTTCCAACGGGAATCTGCAGACTCATCTCTTTGGTAAGTAACACTCTAAACGTGCAGGCAGAAAAAAAGAGCTTCTGACCTTGTAAAACTTTAATTGGGGTCATGCGGTGATGTAATTGAGTATTGATTCTGGTTTTTGTTGGCTGCAGAAGAAAGCCCAGGAAAGGCACTGAATTGGTCTGAGAGATTAGCAGCGGTCATTGGTGTGGCTAAGGCTGTCCACTTTCTGCATACTGGTGTTATTCCTGGATTTTTCAACAACCGGTTGAAGACGCATAATATCCTTGTCAATGAGCATGGAATGGCCAAGTTGGGTGATTATGGACTGTCAATTGTAACAGATGAGCCCAGGAGTTCCATGGTAAGACATTTTCTCAGTTGTTGATGAGAAGGCTCTGCACTCTGTAGTCTGTAGCAGTTGTTTTTCAGTCTCCCACTCTAGCATTATGAAGTTGATAATAAATCCTGGGTTCCTTTGGTTGCAGGACAATGAAGGACTTGGTTCCTGGTAAAGATTCCTTTCAATTAACTCATGCTAAGAACTTTAGAACCACATTATAGGCGCGTATGAAACACGTATTGAACTGTTCTCCCATTTCTCAATGTTGTTTAACCGCAGGCAGACATCGAAAGACGAAGACGACATCCATGGCTTTGGGTTCATACTCCTTCAATCACTTACTAGCAATTCAGTATCTGCGGAGAGGGACGAGTTCCTGGCACAAAAATTGGTATATCCTCCTGAAACTATGAAACCGAAATCACACGTCTTTAGATACCAACCATTTGCAGTCTCTCAAGCTAGCATTGGTATATGTGTTCTTCAGGCAGCTTGTACCAGCCAAGAAAGCAGAGCAGAGTTGATAAACCCAACGGTACTTGCAACTGCCTCACAAGAATCATTGGCAACTGTGATATCCATAACAGACAAATGCATCAGTCCTGAATCGGCATCATGCCGGCCCTCCTTTGAGGACATACTATGGAACTTGCAGTATGCAGCTCAGGTTCAAGCTACTTCAGATGAACAGAGACCTGCTGATCTTGTATCATAATTGCTGCTTCTTTAAATAAACTCTTTTCTATTGATATTCTCGTGGCAGGAATAGCACCAACACTACCTCTTGTATTTGTTCAGTTTAAATCCCTCTGTTATCATTTGGTATTAGTCATAATTATTAATATAAATAATAAAGGTAAGCGAAGCCAATCAACCAACTTTCTGCAGTTTCCCTGAACGAACGAACTTTTGCAAACTTGCCATTCAGTAGTAGTTTCTGTCAACATCACAGGGCATAATGCAGTCGAGTAACTAACAGTGTGAAGAGAATACTGACAACTGGTTATGGTAGTTGCTAGTAGAATAGGTGGATGAGTAGCAAAATTTCCATCTCGTAATTGAGTTTGCGGTGGCTAACTAGCTGCTATACACATTACTTTGCATTTACAAACCATTTTGGTGCCTGCCTCCATCGGAAAGATGGGTTTATGGGGAGAGATTCTACCGCAGAAAAGGGGGAGCAATGAGCTTCTTGTTGGAAGAGTGTACAGCATTTAGTTCCTCTAGGTGTAGCGCAGCCAACAGTCCTTGCCAAGTATCCCTTGGAGCAGTGCTCACTTGGAAGTCCAGAAGCCTTTTCTCCTTCTGGTAATAAGCTTCAAGTGGCTTGCTCTGGCAAAACACCGAAATTGGAATGTTAAAACAAAGCTCAGCTGTCACTGTATGTCCTGGACCGCAACTTCTTGACATAAATTTATGCATGAAAAGAACAGCAGAGAATGGTAATGTGGTTAACCCTCGCACATTGCTTCACCTTTGAACATGGAAACAGTTTGAGGGGTCTCTACATAATTTGCTATCATGCAAATTATATGGAAGATTCAGTTTAGCAATGTACTCCATCCCACGACAAGAATTGCACTATCAATCAGCAAGAAGATTGAAAGAAATCATCAATCAAGCTCAAGACATCTTATGGTCGTCTCTATCTATGTTAATCTCTGAGAAGAAGAAAGAATTGCCAGACCATGTCCGAACTCTCTGTGTTTTGGTTATTCCTAGTGATGATCTTGTAGAAGTAGTTGGGATTAAACGATGATAAAAATGTTTGTTTAAAATGCAGCTAATGCAATCGACCTACATAAACGATACCAAACATAAGATAATCAAAACCAATTTCTACTTTATGTAATTAAAAGACAGGAGAACGAGCAATACCTGTTCAAAGTGTTCTTTCAGCTTGTCCTTCCAGGGCCCTGCAACAGAATGGAACATTGAGGTCAACTTGGCATGAAGAGCCTTTAGCAGGAATAGAATTAATACATAAGAAAAAATGGTAGGGGGAAAAAAAGATAAGTACCTTCTTGATGTTTTTCCAAGTACTCATCAGAACATTTAAAATTAACAACCAAATCAATTTCAACAAGTTCATCAAGGATTTCCTGCGCAGTATTTTTAAAAACAAGGTTAAAGCTGGTAGTAAAACTTATAATAGCAGATGCCAAGTTAAGTTGCAGCAGAAAATTTACAAGTATCGAACTCAACCACTAAGGACGAGACTGAACTCAACTAGCACAAGCCAAGACAATTTTGGTCTTTGAATTCAGCGGCAATCAGACTAGCAAATAGTTGCACCAATCATTCAAAACTTGGTTGAATAAAGTATAGAATCAGGACTCACAGCTTGAAGTCGGGTGCGAGGAATTCCATCCAGAACGAAACCAGTTTCACCTCTGTAGTATCCTTCTTCCAACCTTTTAGAAAGCAGTCCAAAAATTATGTCCTCTGGAACACATTCCCCACGATTCACAGCATTGGCAATCTACATCCACGAAAGAAGCCATAAAAAGGCTGCCTTCCACACACATTTTTCCAACAGATCAAAAGAAGATAACAAATGAAGTAGCAGATACTAGACAACCCTAACTCAGAAACAAGCAGGGAAAGCCAAACAGACATTTCGATTCACCCTTGATAAAGCTAGTTACCGCCAATCATCAACCTTGATCCAGACCATTTCTAATTCTAACTACAATTCTTCTTCCGTGACTCAGATTCAAGAACCAATTTCGTGATTGAATCAGCACGAAATCGTGACTTTTCAAGACTTTTTAGGCACAACGATCTGAAACACGTTTGGAACAGGTAAACAAGAGGACTACTAAACAATTCCACTCGGGAAAGGAAAGAAGAACTGCTGACCTGTCTATAGACAGAGGAGCGAGGATTGAGCTCTTGGCTGACGAGAATCGCCATTGAAATGTAAGGAACTTGCAGAAGCCTTGAGATGGTCTGCGCGTACACCCGCTTCTTGGCGAGCGGACATCCAATGAACGCCCACTGTACTCCCCGCAGCTGAACCGAGCTGTCTGTATCAGCCACCGGAACCGGACAAACGGAATCCCGTCGAGTCTCGCTGTAGCTGCCGGTGGCGCTGTAACCCCAGTACTCAGGGTCGAGCTGAGGCTGGGGTGCCCCGGAGGTTGAGTAGGATCGGGGCAGAGCAAGCCTCGCTAGCCGGTGGAACGATGGCGCCGCCGACGCGACAGCGACCATAGCGTTCCGTCGCAACAGTGCGCTCATAGCCATAGTGACCGCCTGGAAATCAAAGCTTCTGTTAGCTAATTGGAGGAGAGAAGAGAAGTGGTATGCGTCCAATGTCGGCTCTCATCTCATGAGGGAGAAAGTGGAAATTTCATAATTGCTGAGGGCTGAGTGGCGATCCTTTTGGTTTGAGTTTCGCTCTTACTCGAGCGCCATTGGATTTGCTTGCCGCGTGGACCTGTAATCGTGCCGGTCACGGGCTCTCAGCTCCTTTTTCAACTTTGTGGTGGTCCTGGTTTCGTGATATTTTCTTTTACTTAACTAGTTACGGGCCCGGCCAGTTGTCCGGATGCATTACATCAATTGCATAATCTACCGTATGATTAGTATTTTGAGATATGGAAATTTAAGTGATCAACTTCATAGTATTCTTCGAGATTCTATCTAACTCATAGAAAAACTTTAAATTATTTACTTTTTTTCTTCTATCCACATCACATTGAAGTAAATTTGAACTGGGAATCGTAATCGAAACGAAAAATAAATTTTCTTTGGCTGCACTTTTTGTCACTATATTTTTTGATTAACGTGAAATAAGCTGGTATGACTCGAATATCGTTGCATGCTTCGATCTCGGTATTTGATTCAAACTTGATGACCAATTTGTTTGGTCTGTAAACTCACACTGTTAGGCTGGTCTTGAAGTTCTTGATAGTGTAAACTATCTCTCCACGAAATAGAGGCGAAATGTGCTTGATTTTCCCTTTGAGAATTTGAACCAAAATATAATTACCCTGGAATTTTTTTGTCATATTAAGAATATTTAAGAACTTGAATCATAGAGTTGATTTTGCGTGGTTATTGTTAGTTTACCTTTGAGTCAATATATAGTATCGAGAAGAAGAATAATACGTGTGTTGGGATTGTTTGCCTGCCACTTTCATGGAACCCGACATTAAGGAATCCGGTTTCTCTTTTGAGGTATCAAATCATATATCAATTGGGATTGCATATTGACTATCATTCATTTAAAATATCGGTCACAATTATATTGTTTCACAATGGATATAAGTCTAACTCAAAAAATATGGTAATAACTAATAAGCACAATCTTAATGTAGGAAGTGTGTAATTAAAAAAACAACCATTAGCTCTTTCTAAAATAAGGATGTTATCATATCTAACTGTGCATATTATGTTCTTAATAAAATTTGGAAAGTAAATTTATAATCACAGTGGAAGATTTGTAGCACTTAAATGCAATTTAATCCTCTAAAAATCATGAATATACATGAATTGAAAAAAATTAATTTCTACTACTAATACATACTAACATGTTAGAACGTAAAAAAATTGTAAATGGGCCATTAGTAAGAAAACTATACTGAGGTTAGAAAAACATTAACAACGTTTAAATAGGAACCTTAAAGAGAAAGTATAATAGGAGTGACAATGACAAAGAAAGAATGCATGCAATAATTCGTAAGCTACAAAATTATCAATATGTGGATCAAGTATGTCAATAAGAGGATTCGATAAAAATAACAATAACAATAACAATAACAAATGTAAATAAAAATCAAAGTTATGAAGTATACAGTTTCATTGATTTTTACAATGAGTCGGATTTATATCATGAGAGGTTTGTGAAATAAATTAATTGATTATTTTCAACTCAACTATTTTTCAATGAATGTAATCCAACGATCATTATAGATTGGTCACTAATCCGATTTGAAGATCATTATTGATTATCTTCATAGTAAAAAACGTATTTTCACAGCTTGCAGTTGCATCATATGCGTCAATTATAATTTTTAAAGTGTGACAAAGATTATAGGTACAAAATTTTATTATGACGAAACATGAAGTTTTCACCAAAATTTCAAGCGAAAGCGTACCCTCTCCCTAACCTAGGTCCGCTCCGAATAGGAGAATGTAGTTATCAGCATAGTTAGGAAAATACGATATGGGAAAGGTACGTATAAAATACGTACGGATATTTTAGTTCATCTTTAAGCTAATGTTACGTTTAGTACGTTAATAGTCATAAATATGTAAAAATTAATTATTTTAAAAAAATATAAATAATAGTAAAGTTTACCATTTAATTCATTAAATACGGATATTAATCGTGTTATACGGATTTTATACGTCTTTAGTACGGGAGCCATCCCTTGTCTTACCTATCAGTAAGGAGACCCATAAACTACTAGTTCTTCTGCTTAACGTGGCACGGAAGCTAGTGCGTGCAAGCGATGCTTCATATCGAATGAACAGAAAAACTAAATAATTTGAAAATAATACAAATACAAAAGTTTTAAACAGATAAAATACGTATGGATACATATACATGTATTAAACGGAGTATTTACTAACTATAATTATCGGTACGGGTTAATTATAATGATGTTGGTGCACGGATGCAAATTAATTGAATTCAATTGGCTTCTTTTGCATGAAGCTCGATTGGAAAGGGCACCGGGAAATAATTAGAGGGCTAGCGCATTACACTTCTGTTTCTGCCGCCTGCTGCAATAATTAGAGGCCCATCTTAATCACTTGGGGAAAAGACTAAACGGTCCCTCCGTGGATTGCTCAGAGAACAGGAAAAGGGAGATTAAGGGGATCTGACAAGAATCTCTATAAAGTATTGTTAGGAGATTGTTTTGTTTGGGAATAAATAAATAATAAATAAGATAATTGAAATTGAAATTAGGAGTAAAGAAGGGTTAATTGGGTCAATTTCCAACCTCTTTAGCGACCACTTAACAGAAAATTAGACGAAAGGGTAAACTTGTTACGTTTTAATATTAGAAGGGTACATTCACGAAAAAATTTAGTAGAGTGATATGTTTGTTAATTTACAATAGTAGAAGAGTACAAAATGCCATTAACCCTTGGATTTATATATTTATATGATCTGAACTTTTAACATGATAAACATTCTGATCAATTTTTTCGATCTGTAATATCATGACCCAAACTATACACCACAGTTACGAAATTGGTCAAACCCGAAATTTGACTGTTATCTGGGACGGTCAACACGCCACATCATCGCCAAATCAACACCTTTCACTTTTTTTTAATACTTTCCAACTATTACCATTTTTTTCATTTTGAACAAAAAAAAAAAAGAACTAAAGGTAGGGTAATTGTTTTAACCGGTAGAATTTGGATAATTTGGTTTGGTTAATTTGGATAATTGATTTGGTTTGGTTAACTTTTTTAGCTTGTTTGGTTTAGGTGGTTTGGTTTGGTTTTAGACACTGTTAACCAATGAAACCATAGAAACCAGTTAAGTAATTAACCATATATGTAACATATACTATATATGCATATTAAATACTTTGCATAACCACAACAAAAGGCAAACATCCCTCCCTTTTAGCCTAAAAAATAAAGCTCAATATTGTTCATATACTATATATTTGTATTTGTAGAGTGTAGACCACAACATATGAATGTCTTATTTAGATAAAACTCATACATTATGTTGGTTGAAAAACTTGAAAGGAAGGTATTTTTCAGCATATGATAATTGCTAAGAGACTAAGTCAATTCACACAAAGTCAATAGTTCACTAACCTCATACCATTGACATATATTTTTGCTAGGTGAATACTTCTATTTGCGGTAAGATAATTATTAGTTACATGAATTTATGTTAAGATTTAACTATAACTATGTATTGTTTGTTATGATTTATTCCTTACATAAATTGCGAATGGAAGCATTAACCGGAAAATTTTCTCACTTAATGATACTGTGATGTTATATTGGTTAATCCCGTTAACCAATTAACCAAACCAATTAAACTTTAGTTTGGTTAATTTGGTTATTGTATTAGTTTGGATAGTTTGGTTATGATATTGTATTCCATGGTTAATAAAATTTAGCTTTATTTGGCTTGGTAATTACCATGCTAACCATTTGAACACCCCTACTTTTGTCCATTTTGCTCCCTTTTCGATCCCTTTTGTCTGACTTTCGATCTCGGTGCCAATTCTACCTGCTAAAGTCTGAAACATGACAAAAAAGACCAAACCTAGCGCAAAATAGCTCCAAGGACAGTGCAAACCAAGTCAAACGACACAAGTCAAGGGGTATAAAAGTGTGAAATCTATCCCGAATCAAACCTTTTAAATGAAGTGAAGGTCAAGAGAAGAGTGTTACATCGAGAAAGTATAAATAGAAGAAAGAACAAGACAAGCCTTACAAAATGCGGCAGAGCAATCCTACACAATGAAAGACAAAATCGTTTGCAATTAGCAATAGATGTCAAAAGTGATAGAGGTTCACTATCTGTATTGCTTGAGTGACTGTGAGGTTGTGCAGGTTCTCTCTTTAGCTTGAGTTCTTGTGAGGAAGAGAGAAAGGGGTATATTGCTCTATTTTGTCTAGGGTCTGAGTTTCATCCAAAGGGACTCAGCTTGGATTTAGATTTAAATAAGATAAAAACCTAGACCCTAGCTCTCAAGGTGTAACCCACCATTGAGCTGAGATTTAAAACCATAGACCAAACTTGATTGTCAAAACATCTTGTGTACGTGTCTCTCTCCCCATTCTTCTGTATTATGTGTTTGCTTCTCAATAGGAACATTCCTTGAAGGTTGAAGATGACTCGATAAGGTTCAAAGCCCATCTCGTGATATACTTGGGCTCTAGTAACGAGTCAAGCCCAGCACTCTCGTCCATACGACCATTTTTTTATTACTCGTGTTTAATTATCTTATTTTATAAGATTGTTTGTGGGTGACACATGTTCTTCAAAATTTTGAGACCTCGTGGCTGTAGTTTAATTTGGAATTTTTTTTTTAAAATGTGATAGTCTGTTATTCAAACCCATAACACTATAATTATTAGACAAAATGTTACCCATCACCCTACAAACCAATTGTTATTATGTTTAAAACATAAATATAATTATAATATAAACTTAACTCCAATTAAATCCTAATTTTCACAACCTTTTCATCTAAACCCTAAAAACAATATTCACAATTTCACACCCTTCTTATATTGACTAAGTTTGCATCACTATCACGTTGAATTGTTTTACTCGATTCTTGATATGCAACTGTAAGAGTTGAACTAATGCTTTGATGAGGTGAGTACTTGGTGATTGACTTATATGACTTGTTTTTAGCTTGGAGAATGTGTGTGCGCTTTTGACAAAGAGAAGTTAATAAGTTATACATGATTTTATCCTAATGAGTTTGATCACCTT